TTATGTGAAAAATCCTTTTGGATTTTAATTGACATTCTATGGAATTTATATACTGAATTGATAGATTAACTTGGAAAGAACATTAAATCTTCCTGTACACAACCATGGCTTCTCTTTCCAATCAGAATAAAAGCCAAATTCCTTGCTTTCAAAGATGAATGAATAACCTCAAAATGTTCCCTGGTTCTAGTTTATAAACTTCTAAAGGACTAAGTTTTTTGACTTATTCCATTTCTTTAAAGATTATAGATTTAATTAGGATTTAGTTTTTCCTTGAGTTAACATTGGTAACTTTTTTTTTTTTTAAAGATTTATTTTTTTATTTTTTAAATTTATTTATACAAGCACGGGGTACAGTCAGAAGCGCGGGAGGATGAGAGAATTCACCAGAGCCAGAGCGGGTTGCAGAACAGGCAGAAGGACCGAAGACACTGCTGAGGGGAGCAGCGGGTGGCAGGAGAGGTCTGTGCACCATGTGGGACCCTCCTCCAGTGGCCGGGGAGCAGCTGGGGATTGAACCGGCACCGCAGAGGCTACGGGCAGCTTTGCAACCCAGCGCTCAACCACTGTGCCACCGGGGAGGCCCAACATTGCTAACTTTTATCTAAAAAAAAAATCATCCATTACATTTTCAAATTTACTACCCCAAATTATTCATAATATTTTTCCATTTTCTCTTAATATTATTTGTCCCTCCTCCCTTGCTTCCATCAACATTGGCAGATGCTTACCTTATGAGTCTTTTCTAAAAAGCAGCTTTTGGGTTCATCAGTATTATATATTTTACATTACATTAATTTGGTACTCCTATTTTTATTATTTACTTTCTTCTGCTTTCTTGGGTGCATTCTGCTATCCTTTTCTCAGTCTTGAGTTCATTAGTTTTTAAATCTTTCTTCTTTTCTAATGTTTACATTTCAGGATATAAATGTCTCTTCAAATCCCACTTTAGCTATATTCCATAAATTCATCTTTGGAATGCTTTTGTTAGTCATTCCATTATAAATAGTTTATGATTTCCATTATAATTTTTTTTCTTCTTTTTTTAAACTTTTTTTTTTTTTAAAGATTTATTTATTTATTTATACAAGTACTGGGTACTACAGTCAGAAGTGCGAGAGGGTGAAAGAACTCACCAGAGCCAGAGCGGAGAACAGAACAGGCAGACTGACGAAATACACTGCTGAGGGGAGCAGCGGGCGAGACAAGAGAGGTCTGTCGCGCCATGTGGGACCCTCGCCGGTGGCTGGGGATCGAACTGGCACTGCAGAGGCTGCGGGCAGCTTTGCAGCCCAGTGCTCAACTGCTGCGCCACCAAGGGAGGCCCTAATTTTTTCTTCTTAACATATATATCCATCCATGACTTTAAAATATATAATATCTCTATCCTCCTTCTGAATGTCTTAAGCAGGTACCTTAGTGTGCTTTAACTCCAGCCCCCTCCCATTCTTCTGTCATGTTATTATTTACCAATATTTAATTATATCTTTTTAAAAAATTATATCTTTTTTTAAACTTTTCCCTAAATTAGGCTTTACTATTACTATTTGTTCCATATGCCATGTTCTCATTTTTCATTCCATTGCCACTAAATAGCAAAATTTAGTTACTCTCTTGGTCTCTTTTATCTACTTTTTGTACCAAATAATCTATAGTTACAGTGAACACTGCCTTGATCATTATTTTTCTTTCGAATCCAGAGTCTGATCTTATCACCACTTTGAAATTAACATATTTATTAATGAGCCTTCAAACAGCTGATATGGAAGAAATGTACGTAGTATTAGTATTTCCAGTACCTTAGTATTTCTTACCTAGGTCAAAATAAATCTAGGAACTTAGGGGTTTTTTCAAGTCAAATATTTTAAGATATTCACTAGAATATATATATTGATAGTCTCGATATACAAAATCAAACCTGCAAAAGGAACCATTTATAAGCATAACTCTTTTCTTTCTTGCTTTAAAGATTCAAATAATATTTAGCAGTAAATATATTTGGCAAATGACTAATGGAAAAGTTCTTCTTTTTCATAGATACAAGAAAAGGAATCAGTTGACATGCTAGCTGATATGAACAAACTACTACCTCCAACAGAATGAGCTTAACATGTTTAACACTGATTTCTAACAAGTGAAATCAAAGTAAGTTGATCTCGATTTAAAAAATAAATCAGAAGGGCCTCCCTGGTGGTGCAAGGGGTTAAGACGCAACCTATGAAGCTCTCCACAGCCACTTCAGGGCAAGTTCCATCCCCCAGCCAGGGAGCTACCCACATGGTGTAGCAGACCTCTCCTGACTCACCTGCTGCTCCCTTCAGCAGTGTATTTCAGTCAATCTGCCTGTTCTGTTTCCCACTCTGTCTCTGGTGAATCCTCTCACCACCACCCCTCCCCCATCCCCGCACCTCTGGCCTGTACCCCAGTTCTTGTATGAATGAATAAACAAATCTTAAAAAAAAAATAAATCAGAAACAGAGCTTAACGCTTTTACCAGTTGCCTAATAAACATCTGCCCACATCTACAGGAGTGGGGAGACACAGCATGAACTTTGGAAACCACTAATCCAGCTCATTCATTTTTTTTTTTATTGTGGTAAAATATGCACAAAATTGCTCATTCATTTTTAGAGAGCGGTTAGGTGACCTGCCAAAGATCACCTAGTAAACATGGTGAGGCCTTAAATGGGTTAGGGCTCCACAGCTATGGCGACCAGTCGTGGGGGCAGGATGGAATTAGGTGGGAAGGAGTGTGATTCTGTTCTTGCAGACTCATGGAATTACCCAGCAGAAACTTACTTGGAATATTCTGATTAGCCAGAAGGGTTTGACAGTATAGCCAGGAAAGGAAAAAGAGAGCAAACATTGAGGGCTTCTCACCAACTACCCCCAAAATAAATACAACTAAAAGCTCAGACAACTTTTTTTAATCATTAAAATGTTAGAGAGGAAAGTCCATTATTGCAGATTTGCTTTAATGAGAAGACAGTTCATTTGCTTTTGAGGGAAGGCAGGCCTGGATCAACAGCTGGTCATGTGGATGGCTCAGAGCTCGTGGGAAGTGTTCTATCAAGGACTTAAAGGTATCTTTTATGGGTCCGGATCACTGCCTGATACAAAAGGAACAAAACTAATGAGATCTCTGAGCTTAAGGATCTCACCATATCCATAGGGGACTTAAATTATGTTCAAAGACCAGAAAGCAATTAGCAGCTACATGGGGGCCCTCAGGAAAGGGAGTATCATGGGCCAGGGTGGAGACGCTAGGAAGTGTGGCCTAGGTACATTGGGCCTATCTCAAAGCCATAACACCACCACCAACACTCACTATTGCCTACAAGTAGCCAGGCAATATACTGGGCTCTAATTTTCTCTTCATAATACTTCAGCATAGGCAGGGATGATTTTTCTCCATTTTACAGTTGAGGGCATGGACCCAAAGAGGTTGAGTGAAGGTTACCTATGTTGTTCAAGGCATAGCCAGGGATTTAAGCCTGAGTGTGACACAAAAACCAAGTTTCCTCAGTTTTCTTTATATCCTCTTCCATCACGGTAATTAAGGGAAAGGTCTTTCAACTTGAATTTTAAAACTCTTTGTAGATGTAGTTATAATATATTCCAAAAGGAAGACAAAAAATAAAATAACCTTATGTGTCAGCCTATTCCTTCTTCAGTTCTTAACTTAAATATTATCTCTTATAGGACTCTTCTAGTCCTCAAATAAGGACCACAATCTTTAATGTGCAATTTCAAAAGTCAATAAGCTTTGAACATTTTTCTAAGTTTGCAGCAAGCTGGCTGATGATGGCAAAAGATGACCTGAACTGAGAGGAAACTGTTCCTAGTCTTTATTCATCCCACGTAGGGTAAATAGTCACATTTTGATGTGGAGATAATGGGATGCCGCCCAGACGCCACTACAATTATTACTGAATATATATGTGTATACTAGTTTTCTAAAATCCAGATATTTCTAAGTTGCAAACCACATGTGACCCCAAGGGTTTCAGACAGGTGACTCTGGACCTAGCCCCAGACACCTTTTTCGCTGCACTGGAAGTACTAATCCTTTGTAAGCCCAGCATCTAACAGTGTCTTGCATATAATAGCTACACAAGAAATATTTCTTGAATAAGGAAACAAGGCTGAGAAATTGGTTAAGAAAGGAAAATGGTCAGTGGCTTCGAGTAACGGTGGCTCCCCACTTGCAGACCAGGCCTGTATCCATGGAATGTCACTTCCTTCTCTGACATGAAGGGTCTATAAATAGTTGTCCCTGATTGAGAGCAAGCAACATAGCTGCTGTCTTCACTAGGAATAAAAATAGTCCAGTGGTCTTACATGATGGGCCCACATATAACTTTAACCCAGTAGGAAACAGCAGGCATAGTCATACCTCAGACCACATGGGCAGCTTCACTGGTACTCTTGAACTTGGGAGCAAAAGACCTGTGTTTTTTTTGGACCTTACTACCTTTTTGGCTTGAAGTTTCCCCATCTGTAAAACAGCAACCAGAGTAAGCCTTAACTCCCCCCCCCATCTTAAAGAGGGAACTGATGGGAGCAGCAGCCAGGGCTGCCCCCACATTCAAGAGTGGGCTGCAAACCTCAGGAGCTTCTTCACTACTGTCTGCTGTCCTTGCAGTCCAGAGTTAACCGTGTTCATTCAGCGTGCTCTGTCCAACCTACACACACCTCCTCTCTCATCGAAAAGAAACAGAGTCAATGCAACAAGAGCGTTTTGCACCCAGGGCACCCTCGCAGGCTCTTTCTGTCGTGGATCCCAAACACTGGTCAAAGAATTCTAAGGAGGGTAGCTTCACAATCCATCGGCCCCCTGTCTCGTGAAGAGGAAGGGGTAGAAATGGGGTGGAGGGAATCACCAAGCAGCAAGGACTGAATTTAAAGAGAAAATGTCTGAACTGCAAGGTCTCGGGACACCTGAGGGTCTGGGTAGGAGAACTGCGAGGAGAGGGCAGATCGGGGTGCTCCCTCCTTACCTGGTAACACAGGATGGTTTGTTGCACAAGTCGCGCGTATCCATCCAAGCGGACCCCAGAATTGCTCCTGCTCCTCATCTTGGAGAAGCTCGGGGATCCGCGGCTCCCGACCGGGTGCACGCCCGGGTTGCGGCCGCAAGAGTGTCTGGCTCCCAATCACAGCCTCGATCAGTTCTCGGGACGGAGCCCCGCGGTAAGAGAGCCGTACTTCTAAAAACGGTAGAACCAGAGTAGGGGTGGTAAGCAAGCCAACCAGAGTTTTGCAAGGCTGGAGGGGGCAGGGGTGGAGACCCGGACTGGCGCCACCGCGGCCCCGCCTTGACCAGACCCGCTCGGCCCCGACGCTCCAGGGTCCGAGGGGCCCCAAGGAGAAGCAGGGAACTGAGTTCCGGGGTGGGGTGACGCTGCCTTTCCCCACTGTGCCTTTTTTTTTTTTTTTGTCTTTGTCTTCGGGAGGCTGTGGGGAGGCCCCGGGGGGCCGCCAACCCTACCCGACCCTGCCCGCTCCCACCCGCCGGCCGCGGGCCGCTCCCAGCCCCGCCCCTTGCCCCGCCCCCCCGCGTAACGGAACCCTCGAGGCGCAGCCTGAGGGGGAACGAGAAAGGAGAGGCCCGCGGGCGCGGCGGACAGCCCGGCTCCGGGCGGGAGCTAGCTGGCCTTCCTCAGCCCCTCACCTTCCGCGGGCCGCAGACCCTCGAGTCCTGGAGAAACAGGCCCTTCCGCCGCGGCCACCTGGACGTCCTGGAGCCGCCCCCAACCCCGCCCCTGGAGCCGCCCCCGGCTCCGCCCCCGGGGCCAGGCCGAACCCGCGGAGCCCGGCCAGAGGAGCCAGGTAAGGGGACTGCGGCGCCGGGGGCCTGGAACGCCCCTCTCGCTCCCGCGCGGGCGGCCCAGCTCCGCCCGCCCAGCTCCGCCCTGGGCTGAGCTCACAGTCGCGTCCTCAGCTCCGCCCTAGCGCCGCCTCCTCCTCCTTGGGGAGGAGATCAAGGAGGAGGCTCCCGGACTGGGCGGCCAACCTCACCCGAGGCGGGAGGAATAGGCCCGCCCAGCCGCGTCTCCGCCGCCGAGCGGAAGCCGCGTAGTGGGGCCGGTGCACGCCGCGGAAGGGTCAGCCTCGGGCGGGGACCATGGGTGCCCCGCACCTGCGGCCCCCGCCCTAGTCAAGTGGGTGCAGTTCATCACTCGCAGGCTACAGCGTGAAACTTGGCATTACAGTGCTTCATGGCAGCTCATTACCTGCAGTTCACCATCTTCAACCCAGTTCTCACTTCCACCAAAATCTGGCCCCAGATGAATTCCAGTGTACCGTTCAGTTCATGTGATTGTTTCCACAAGCACTACACTAGTCTCCGTGCATTCACCATGTGCTTTCACCAGCAGCCCTTCCCCTCCTGACCTAGCTGAAGGGATCTTTCCTTTTAGGGCCAGCTCAGCTTTTCCCTCATATTATTGACCCTCCCCGTTCTCTGAATTCCCACAATTTCTTTAGTAAGAGTTTAGGTTTTGGAGTCAGTTCAAATGGAGTTCAAATTCCAGTTCTGCCATTTACAAGTGGTGTGATCATGCAGTTTAAACTGATGTTCTCATGTATAAAATGGGGATAATAATGGCACCCACCTTCTAGGGTGCCTATGAAGGTCAAGAGGGTGAATAGAAAGCTTTTAGCACTGTGGCTCATAGAAAGGTGTTTAATAGCTGTTTTCATTATTTGCAATATCATTGCCTCATATTGTTATTTTTGTTTTTATGCGAGGCGTATATTTCTAACTGGGTTGTAAGTTACTCATTGAAACAGTCTTTGGTATCCCCTACCATTACTGGTCATGTTGAGCATGTAGTTGTAGCTCAATTAGTATTGAATGAATGAATGGATGAATGAAAATCAGTCCTGCTCAGCTGGTTCCCCTATGAAAGGTCTTTAACCAAGTTCATTTCAGAAATTCCATAACATAAATGTTTGTTGCTCAGTTAAAGCACCAAACCCCTCATCATCTCACGTCCTTCGTTTTCTTACTATTGGCTCTTAAAGTATGCAGCAATCCAGCAATCCATTCAAGGTGCCCCCATGCAGAATTTACTATGGTCTAGGAGTAAATAAAACTAGACATTAAGTTAATTTGCCTAACTTCTGAGTCTAAACAATGTGCTCTCATGTATTCTACATCTAAAACCTGGGATCATTGCTTTTTTCATTACTGCTTTTGTTCACATTGACCATAGGGGAAATAGTTGATGACTTTTGCTCATTATCTGGCATTTCCACAGGTATAGAAACATTTTCAGTTTCTCGATCTCATTCTTTGTAAATTCTGCTCTACACACATGTACCCCATTTGGTGTCTAGCCAGCCTACATTCTTAGGCTTTGGCCTGTGTTTTAAAGCATATTATCATATAAGCTGTATTTTTCAATAACTTGACATTCAGGGATAAAGCCAAAAAGGAAGGCTCCTACTTCTTAGCTTTTAAATTTCCAACTGAATGTCAGTGATTCATTTTGGACTAGGAGCTGTGCTACTAAAAAATCAGAAACATCTTATATCTTCATGTCCCTGAAATATATAATCTCCATTATCTTGGCTCCCATATCATGAAGCCTTTCTCCAATTGTGACCCAATAGAAACCTGTCTCTAAAGTCATTTCTCAAATATTTATCACGGAACAGATATCAATGTGATGGGATATGTTATTGCTTCTGAAGCTCCTTCAGGATCTTCATAAAAATCCCCAACTAGCCCCTGGGGCAGGACCACATCGCTTCTCTGACCTCAACTAGAGGGTCTGCCCATTGTCCCACCAAAGGAGCTTCTCTACCAAGGAAGGTGGAATGTAGAAACCGTCAAATGTTTCTCCCAGAGAGTGCAGGTTTGTAAAGGAAAGCACTCCATCTTTGACATAAAGAAGGTCAGTTCTGAATTGCATTGCTGAAACTAGCCAGTTCACCAAATTTAGTTATTTCTATGACTGCAGATTATTTTGTTTTTCATCATAGTATTTTAAGGAATGTTGAATTTGTCTCTGCCCCAGCTACGGTAGCTAGTTTGAGACTGAGAAGCAAAGAGAGGAAACACTAATGAGCATACGATTTCATCATTGGGAAGAACATATTAAAAGAATATATTCTGGAAAAATTTATTCAATTTTTGTCTGCACCAACTTTTTAATGCTGTACCCTAAAGATTGCAGTGAAAAGAAAAAAATAATATTCTGGTAAGAATTCTTCTCACTTATGATTACGTTCTTATGTCCACTCAGTCTTTCCTTTCCCTGTCCTTCTGAATCCAACCGCAGCAGTGAGTACCATGGCAGACACAGACTGAACAGGCCCTAAAATGCTGTTACAGAGACAAAATGACAACACACAGTCCATTTGGTAAATTGCTTATTCATTAAATTAGCATTTTGTCCAAATGGCTTTTAGCAAACCTGCCTATGTGACCTTATTAGATGCAACCCAGTCTCCAAATGATGCTGCTTTACAGCTTCCTCTAGAGCAATCTTGATGCTGCTCACTGAAGTTAATAATTTTTGTGGGATTAATGATTGCAGTGTGTTTTGGGGAAAAAAAAAAAACTTCTCAAATGTTCTGAAGAAATTCTTCAAATTCTGGCCACTGGTGTGACACTCCTTGCTGCCTCATTAATCCCACCTCTATGTCCTTCAACAGCATTTCAGAATATGCTACCAGTTTTAAGCCCAAAGGAGGAGGCTTCTCAGGAATATTCTCTCTGTCCGCCCTTTATCTGTCTGAAGCAAAACAAATAGAGAATTTGGCTTAAGGACTGCGGACCAGACACAACACACAATAAGGCAGGGGGAGGGGGACGTGGCATCTAAAAGACATCAAGATATTGTACATCCTTCTGTGTACACAAAATGAACCAGTTACATAATCTGTTTTAAGCGATCTGCTTTCTGAGATTTCACCCCCCAAATCTAGAGTATGTCACCTCCTTCCCTATCAATTTAGTGCTCAGCATCTTCAAGGAAGTTGAGCATCTTGGAAGGAGAGATTGCTCAGAGACCCCTTTTGGAGTTGAGGCTAACTTTCCCGATCTGTGGCTCCTATATGCTAATCAGCTCCCTAGAAACCCCAAATCCTGTCCTCATCTTGAAATCCTACTGTTCAGTTCTGAGGAAGCAGACACTTGGATCCAAATCCAGAGTTGATACAGCAATATGTGTTAAATAGTTGATCTTGAGAGAGTAGGGGGAAGATGAAGGGACCTCAGGAGCCAACCTCATGAGGCAGAATAGTTCCTGCTGACTTCACAGTCCCAATGTGCCTGCTGTTCGCCAAGGATGTTACTGTCGAGTTTGTCTTGATCAGGCAAATCCTACAATTCTCATGCCACGCCGCCAAGGAAGGGGATTGCAAGCATTTTCTCCTTGTGTAATTTCTCAAACTTAAAGGACTTAACTGCAAATTTATTTCATTGACTTTAACATTTTTTTGTTGATTTTAACATATAAATACAAGAAAATTAAATAAATCAGAGAAGAAATATTGCAAAAACAAATCAGCACTCATAGAAGTGTATTACATTATTATTATGATTAGTCTGGGATACAACATTCACTTGAAATATATGCAAGGGAACCTTAGTGAAGGACCTAACTTAGGGGTTTTGAAATGTTCCTTATGAGGACATACTTGAGGCACTGCTCAAGCAGCTGTAGGTGGGAAGCAAGATAGGCCCTCTATAGTAGGAGCAATCAGGGTCTGATACATATGGAAACAATAGCATTGAAGGATAGTTCACCATTCCCAATAGCTGCTCCCCCTCGTCTTGTCACTATACACTCTTCAAGACATGACACCGTTTAGAAAATAAATGAAGCCCTGGCAGGGCCAGAACAGACCAGTCCTGACAGCCAACACAGCACCGTGCAGTTACCTTTTAAAGACAGCAATATGATTTCCTTATATACATCTCTTTTCAAAAGTAATCCTACTCCTCTCCCTTCTGGACAGGCTCTGGGGATCTGAGAAATGGCAGTGTATGTATCTTCCTCCACATTCACAATTTCCCTGAATGTGGTCTTGATTACAGTTCCATCCCTCTCTGAGGCCAAGGTATTGAGTCAAATATCTTGGAGCAGATCCCATAACCTGATGATTAGAGATGAGGTCAAGAAATGGTCTCGGTATTGAATGCCATGCACGGTTGTTCAGGTTGTATCCTGCACAAAGGTGCACCCAAGAAGGTGAGTGGGGCTAAAATATGATCCCCCACTCTATTTGCCAATGAATGAGCCATTGAGGCTGTGCCTGCCCAGTGGGGGCACCTTTATCTAGTCACCTTTTTCAGTCAAAGGCACTGTATGAGCTAATTGTGGCACTGTCTGTTTACATGTTTCTTATCTGGCTGTCATCATTATTTCTTAATTTCAGTGAAGTTTCTGTTTCACATCCCATATAATCTCCAAAAGGAGTTATAGAATTCACTGAACTAGCAAGCATTTTCTGAATTATCACATTAGACACAACAACACAACCACGACTCTACAAAGAAATAAATTTACACAGTAGAAAATAAATACAAAAAATGTAGAAGTAAGATTTTTGACACGTGGGTCCCTAGAATTTAGCTTATTTACAACAAAGGCATGCGCAACTAAACCCACCAGCAGGCTGAAGTCAACAGTTGCTTTACATGTTATCAAAGGTAACCGCCTTAAAATGCGGCGGGAAATGAACTGCTATTATTTACTTATTTTTTCGTCTTAGTCTTGGTGTATTGTTTAAAACCAATCTTCTTTTAAAATGAAGAAGAAACCAAATAGCAAATGTCTTAAAAACCATGGTAAAATGTCTTGGTTTCCTCTTCC